AAACCGTAGCAGGAAGCTAGCGAAGTCGTAGTATATATCGTCAAATAGAACTGCCCGGTAAACCGTAGGCAGAGAGGGAGAAGAGGACTATATATCGTATATATATATCGTCAAACAGAACTGCCTGGTAAACTGTAGGCAGAGAGGGAGAAGAGGACATGCAAGGAATATGAGTGTGAACAATATACAAAAACATCAAATTGCGAAATCAGTTCAAAATTTCAAATCACACAGATGTCCAAGTAGTCGTGTCCAAGCAGAGAGTACAAATGCACCGAGAAACCATCCATATAGAGCAATATAATGAAGTAATGAGCCAATGTTCAAGCCGGTAGGCCACAGCAACACAGTATCCAAAGTCGCTCCTCTCTGTCTGGCGCCCAGCGCCCAGCCTACTCTACCCGACTATCCTACCTACAGCTGTGTTCACGCAACAGGCTCACTTCGACTCTTGAAGACCAATGTACATGACTCTCAACACCATAGCCGACCTCTCTTCATGCACCAGGTACGTATCTCGTCACCCTCGGTCAGACCTTGATTACCCGACACTTGCCTCCTTCCCTGAAGACCACCAGATCGCCTGCATTACCCTCTGGTGCCCAGCAGCCCGGCTATGGCTGCCTGCGCCCCGCTGCCCTGCAGCGCCCCGCTTCACCTCAACGCGCCCCGTCAGCGCCCTTGGCCACAGTGCAGCATCAAGCAGTAGTGCAGCAGCACTTTTGCATTGCCTACACAGGCCAGAATGCCTGGCCTGGGCTGACTCACTTCTTTATGGAAGTGGCAGCCTCCTGAATGCTGCGTGTGGCCTGGCTGGAAGCTTCCAGTAGCTTCCGGTTGGGCCTCAGACCCTGCGCCCAGGCCCAAGACCACAGTTAAGGGCTTGGGCCCTTTTCAGGTGGGCACGGCCTGAGTCTCCGGACTTGGGCTGTTTGCTGCATCTGTGCAGGGCTCCCAAGTAGGTGCGTCGGCAGTACCGCTTTTCCAAAAACCGATGGCCTGCTTCCCAATGTATCGGCCCTGCTTTGTGTGTATGTGCCCAGGCGCAACTGTCAAGGTCTGGGCCAACTGTACGACGCAGCTTAGTGAGGCTCATGTGTTTACCCAACCAACTGGCGTGCTGCGAGAGCCTGAATACCCACATATGGAAATGTCGAAATTTGGCCTTTGATGAATATTCAGGCCCACCTTCACTTAGGGCGGGCACTCAGCTTGCTGGGGCCTTAGCCCAGAACATGTGATGTCTGATAGGGCCCCCTGAGGGCTCGTTCCTACACTATTAAAATAGCTAACGTGACAAATCTCAAATCCAGTCCGTCGCGGTTCTTACCGGCCCACGGCCCAGATCGCCGAACGATGTAACAAATCTAAGATCTGCGCCATCCGGTTGTACCACACTGACGGCCTAGATAGGCGCGGTCTTAGATCTTAGGACCGCACCAAGATCCAGGCCGTGGGTTCCGGCCTACCGGACCGACGGCCGAGATCATTTGTGTGTTGGAGGGGGCCGCGGTACCTACCGCCGAGGCTACCGGTGGTTTCTCGGCGCGGTACCTACCGGTGGGGTTTTGTGTTCGGGGAAACAGGTTCCCATAGGCTGCCCGTGATGTAACTACTGGGTGGTGGCGTGCCTTTTTGGCAGCGGCATGGGCAAATTCTACGGCGTCGGGAAAGACCCACCCCTATGCTACTCTACTCTGTACTAAAGACTTCTACTTTGGCATATGGATACACACACACACATGACATCCGGGCAGACTGTCGGGGTTCAACCTCCTGATGACTCGGTGGAAGTCCGACGAAACAGCCTCTCTCAGTCATCTCAAGCACGCAGTCGCAAGAGAGCGATGGGGAGAGAGAGAGAGAGAGATAGATAGA